AAATGTGACTGTTTTCTAAGTAATCATACTACTTCTATGGAACGCTCTTTTGTGCATATTGTCCCTGCCCTTTAACAGTCCGAAACATTCCCACTGAGACAAAAATGTGCAAATACAATTCCTGCGGCGCACTCCTGGTGAATTCTTTATTACTTTTATATCTTCAGTCCGATATGTGTACATGGAGTGGGAGGGTATTGTGAGACACATTTATTTTTTTTCGCCAAATGGCCCCCAAGTAATGGGGGGGATCAGCGTGAGGTTTTGGTAAAAGAGGGTTAAGTAAAACAAGATCTAGTAGAATATATGTCACACTCATTCCCGACTGCTTCATTTACCTCGGAAACGCGTTTACAATGCAGTTCCATTTCTAGCCAACCATTGTACAGGAAGATGTTCAACCATCCAAAGATTTGTCATCCGACTGCACAGATGCGTCATCGAAATTGTTCCAGCATGCCAAAGTACCAGCGCATCGATTAAGTGACCAGAGTGCGGACTTTAAAAAATTGTAAACTGGTGATACGATTAAAAGACCAACTGATCAATCAAGGTGGTTGTACTCCTTCCTTCCCAGCAGTCAGCAACGTGGCTCCAAAATCTCCCCATTCATATCTCTTTAACATTCCACTTTCGCATTATTACAGCAGACCTTCGTATGAGTTAGGACTCGATATGGAAGAAGACCGTTCAGTGCATCAAATATATTGCCAGCACTTGCTTATAGTACTGACCGGTATTTGTTCCTTCGTTGTTGCACACCAGTTGTCTTCTGCTGAAAGAGTCAACTGCAAAGCGGTCTCCTGAGATTAGAATAGTCACCGGGAAAGTGCATGAAACAATCCGTACGCAGTAAAGCTTTAAGTCACTGGGATTCTAGATACAGACAAGCAGATAGAAGTCCCAAGGAATCATCCACTGTAGGATTCCTTCATGGGAATTTCTTCTTTTTTACATACGCCAAAAGGACCAATTCAACCTTCTAAAGCACTATTCCAAATCCCACAGGTTCTCAAGTATGTACTTTGTTGTCACTCCTTCAAAAAACATTCACGGACAAACTAGTATCAGTTATGCGGACCTCCTCGATGCAACTGAAATCCAGGCTAGCCATAGCCGGTGTTTAGTCTCGTCGTGAACCTGAGTGTTAAAAACCTATGCGGCCGTGAGCGATATGTGTGTGATTTGCAGTCCAAATTAAAACTCGCGCGTTTGAACCAATACAGAGGGTGAATTACCCAAAACAGTGACCACTCCAGAAGAGTGGATTAGCAAGAACGATATAAGATGCATATGGCTACCTTTTCAATTCTTCCACTCAGACTGCGCTATGTCCGCACAGCTGGTTCTGTGATTGTACGGGCACTGATTGTATTTCATCCTCGGGTAGTCACGCATTGTTGTCTGGCAAATATTCTGCACTTTACTTTCACATGCCAATCATTTACTTTTATTCTAAGATTTGACATTAAAAATCTCACAAACTGACGTCGTTATCCGTATTATAAGGATCTGGATCACGTTTCATAATGTTTTACTCCCATCATGATGGTATTCAGGACTCCTTTTGGGTTTTCGCAAGGTCAGTCATGGGAGCGGATTCATATTGTCTGTTTATATTAGGACAATGGAATATGGAGTATACATTCATTCCTATTTACCCCAGCACATGAAGCTGATCCCATTCTGCCATCAACGCGTGTTCGAAAGAAAGATATATTGGGTAAAATCTCTGTTGATGGATCCGCCCCTGGAATTACAAACTCTACATATAGGGAGACAATTTGCTCTCTAACCTGGGAGCTCGTGTATTATCGGGGTGCAAAGGCACCGAAGGCAGATAGGTGCAATCAGTTGTCGACACTCGTGGTAATATATTTGGTAAATAAACCCTGAACCTACCTGACACCAGACCTCCCTTGGGACTGCACAAACCCGTGTTCAACGCAGCCACCACGCCCCAGTAATCAGTTCGAACTTCCGGCGAAACAAGAGTATGATCAGCGACCTAACATGCGCGCACTCAGTTCTGCAGGCAGAGAGGCATCAATCAAGTTGTGGCACACGCATACGAATGCCTTGTGTCAAACAATCGCCAACATCGTGTCCATCATCAGGTTCCATCACGCTGTCCTCTCATTGGGCATGAGGAGTGTGCGAAAATCGAGTGGCGTCTATCCTGAGCACCTCTTCCCATCATCATCATCATCCTCCTCCTCTAGCAAACGCGAAACCAACCCACATTCTCCCGTGAAATATGCTCTCATCTTAGTTTCTAACGGACGACATATTGAACGATTTGACCGGGCTAGTGTCCCGCATGTAGTACTGCATACGGATGAGCACATTATCAGGGCGTCTCCACACAAATCCCATTCTGACTGCGCACAGCCATATCTTATTATAGAAATGTGCTCGTGGTTTCAGGCATACATGAACGTCTCTCAAAAGACACCATAAAAACCACCCACAACACGACCTGAGTTATTTTCTTTATTGCACTTCTGCCTACAATGCCCTTCCATACTTGTTAGACATATTGCCGACAAAGACTAGGCTCTGCGCTGCCATTGAGTCCAAAAGTAAATAAGAAAGAATAAGGGTAGGTAAAGGTACGGTAGATGTTCAGCATGTCTGCCACAACTATAAATTAATTCACGCGCAAGTCATCATTCTCTGCAGCACATGCGTAGAAATCGGTGAACGCGACGATAGAAAGAATATTTAAATCTCTCCAAAAATACACCACAAAACAATAAAACCACCCACCAGACATTCTCCTTTACTACATTTTGATTAACTCCGTAAGTTTTACTATCTACACTTCCTATAAACAATGACTAGGTATACTAGGATGGTCATGTTTGGCTTAATTTCCGACATCAGCCAACCACAACCAGATCCAATGCTTGAACTCCCATTCGCTCTCCTTATAAAGTCCCAACCCAAGGCGCTCTACCGTTTAGCCGCAGATTACCGTCTTTACAACGATTATAATCAGCAATCAAGATCACACACGAATGACATTCAGCGATCCAAACTAAATGCCATGTGGAATACGGGCGTTCTGCCCTGCCTCGACCTCCGTTCTAGAGGTCACACGGGCAGTTGCGAGGCGAAAATCAAATGCTGAATCAAGATACATAATGCAACCCTAGGAGAAACCCACAGACCACAGCAATATGACAGAACCAAACCTTAACACTTTAGCCTACACTCCAAATAGATGGCTGAATGCACCTCCTAGGAAACAGTCAGACTGTATTAAGCGAAAGACAGCCTACATTATCAATTTCAGCGAGTCTGAGAAGGGCAACTTCCAAGATCTCCTGTACAAACGAAATCAACAACCTTTCAAACAAACTTTAACACCCAAAAGCATAAGTAAACACAGCTCAGCCTAATTTGAAAGGAAGCATTCACGTTCACAAGTCGCTAATAATCTCCTCCTCACATCCCAAATGTACATTGTTGATTCATTTATTTTTTTCCATGTTAAAAGTTCTGACTTATGTACTTTGCACTTTCGACAGGATTCATTGTGCCTCCCAAATAAACCTAAGAATAATGGTTGGTTTGCCTTGCATGAATAAGCTAAATAGGAATTTGTAATGCAGATCTCCTCACCATTATTTATGACACCTCTTCTCGTCCAATTTATCACAGCTCCTCTATCTGTTCTTCAATCCAGACGAGCATATCTGATAAGGATTTCATGTCGTGTGTGCAGACAGTTACTTCACATGAAGTATCCTGTTTTGGCATGGGTATGCCATTTCAAGTTACAAAAACGTAGGAATGCATTCAGGAATTTGCGAGCTCGTCATAGGTGGGCCAAGCGAATTCTTTCTGTAGGAACATTCGTCACCCTGCTAACAGCTGATACACATACCTGTGCTGTTAACGTATCTCTACTAGTCGAATATGTCCAGTGCCGTAAGACCATTTAAGAATAACTTCTCCACAGCCTTCTGCAGTTGCTCAGATATGGAAACATATTTTGTTAGAAATCCAGATAAACATTCATTTGGGTTCTCCAATCATCCAGCCCCGTAATTTCGAGAAATGCCCTCAAGTAAGTTCATTGGAACACAAACGTGATTGAGCATGGATGCAAAAAT